ACTTTAAATGTAAATGGAGTAAATGCTCCAATCAAGGGTGGCTGAATGGATAAGAAATCAAGACCCATACACATGTTGCCTACAAAAGACTCACTTCAAATCAAAATACACACACAGACTGAAAGTGAAGGGGTGGAAAAAGATATTTCATGAAAGTGGAAATGAAAACAACAACAACAACAAAAAAAGCTGGAGTAGCAATACCTATACCACATAAAATAGCCTTTCAAACAAAGGCTATCACAAGAGACAAAAGAAGGACCTAACTGTGTGTGTATCCGAAGAAACCCAAAATGCAGCTTCAAGGGGGCAGGTGCAGCCATGTGTTCATTGCAGCATTATTTACAATAGCCGAGATACAAAGGCAACCTGGATGTCCCTGAATAACAGAGAGGTGGTACATATATTCAATGGAATATTACTCAGCCATAAAAAAGAAAAATTTGCCATCTGCAACAACATGGATTGATCTAAGGTATTATGCTGAGTGTAGTTAAATCAGACAGAAAGACAAATGTCATGATTTCACTTACAAATGGAATCTAAAGTACAAAACAAACAAAAAAGAAAGAAACTCATAGATACAGAGAACATTTTGATGGTTGCCAGATGGGAGGGGGTTTGGGAGTGGGTGAAAAAGGGGAAGAGATTAAGAAGCACAAATTAGTTATTACACAGTAGTCATGGGGATGTAGGGTACAGCATAAGGAATATAGTCAATAATATTGTAATGACTACGATTTGTCAGATGGGTACTAGATTTATTGGGGTGATAGGTGGGAGAGGAGTTGGGGGCAGTGTAAAAAATGTGAAGAGACTAAGAAATACAGATTGGTAGTTAGAAAATAGTCATAGGGATGTAAAGTAAAGCATAGGGAATATAGTCAATAATATGTTAATAACTGTGTATAATGCCAGGTGGGTACTAGACTAATCAGGGGGATCACTTCTTAAATTATTATATATAAATGTCTAACCACTGTGCTGTACACCTGTATTAATATAAAATAATGTCAGTTGCAATTGAAAAATTAAAAAGGGGGGAAAGGTGAAAGGGAATGAGAGGTTCAAATTTCCAGGTATAAAACAAATGTTTTGGGGATGTAATATGCAGCATAGGAAATATAGTCAATGATATTGTGATAGCGTGGTATCGTGTTAGATGGTGGCTGGACTTATCATGGTGATCACTTCTGTAGGTATATAAATGTTGGATAACTATGGTGTACACCTGGAACTAATATATGTTGCCTATATTTTAATAAAAATATTAGATTAAAAAATAAATTAATTTTAAAACTTCCAAAAAACACCAGCTTAAAATAATTATTATCCCAAAAGGCATATTTTGGGGTGCAAACTCTACTTCCACTTACTTTTATCATTATGATTCTGTTAGTTCACATTACTACCATTAACTGTGTTTACTTGCATTGTCTCATCGCACCCCCTCTCTGGCCCCACCATTTGCTGATTGAACATCAAAGCCTCTATTAGCAGACTTCATTATGGTTGAGAGTCTTGTTCCTGTTTACTAAAGGGCAGTGACTCACCTGAAGACATCAACCCAACCCACAAGTCAATTGGAATTTGGTTCTCAACATTTCTCTCTTCCTCTGTCCCCAACATTAGAGCAGGAAAAATTGTCACTTAGAATGCAAACAGTGTGGAGAAGAGAAAAATTCCCCCTTCCCTCCTCTGGTTCTTTTGGCTGGTTGAATAATGAAAATGACATGAGACAGATTAACAAGAGAAAAATCACATTTAATTTCATGCACATGGGATTCTCACATACATGAGAGAATCAGAGACCCCACATACATGAGAGGTTCAGAGACAGAATGGGAAAATGAGATATATGTGGCATCCTGAGCTAAGGATGAGGCAAGGCATCTAGGGACTTCAGGGGGGGAGGAGGGTGGGTCATTGAGCAGATGTTCAGTAATTAGCAGTTTGCCTTGCCAACCAGATGGGTCATAAAGGTTAGTTCTAGTAATCACTTATTATAGAAAAGACCCCTCATTTAAGTTCTAGGTTGTGGGGGTGGGGGATGGCAGAGGTTTTTCTTGAGACCTTAGCTCAAAATAATCACATAACACAGAGGCATATCTTGGGGCGACTTGTTCTAAGCCCTTACAAAAGCTTTAAAGGAATTCAAGTAGAGCTGTGCTTTGGAAAATATATTTCTGTATGCTATTATTTTGGGGTAAATTCAAGGAAGAGGGGCAAATGATAGCAAAATGATTACAAGATAATATTTACATTGGGCTTTCTTTTACATTCCTCCTCATAGCACGTGTTTTTATTTTATTTTACAATACTCTGATTTGCCTTGATTTGTTTCAAAAATGGATTAAAGGAGACTCACTTCTGCCATGTTTAGGTTCACTTGTCTCCCCTGATAGACTGTGAATCCCTTAAGTCAGGGACTATGTCATGTTCGTTTTTGTAAACCTAGCATATAGGACAGACATAATAATTTATGAATAAATGGATGATATTCAAGCACATCTGGAACAAGAAAAGAGAGTCAGATTAGTTGCTGCAATCCTAGGTTATTGCAGCTTTGAAGGTGTTAATGGACTGAATTGTGCCCTCCCCCCACCCCTCAATTTGTATGTTGAAGTTCTAATCCCCAGTACCTCAGAATATAACCTTGTTTGGAGATAGTGTCTTTACTGAAGTAAGTACGTTAAAATGAGGTGATTAGGGTGGGTCTAATCCAATTTGATTGATGTCCTTATAAGAAGAGGAAATTTGGACATGACTTGTACAAAGTCATGACTTGTACAAAGTCATGTCCAAATTGGAAGATGAAAGATGATGTGAAGACACAGGGAGAAGATTGGCTATAAGCCAATGAGAAAGGCCTGGGACAGATCCAGCACCAACCCTGCTGGCACCTTGATTTTGGACTTCTAGCCTTCAGAACTGTGAGAAAATAAATTTGTTGTTTAAGTCACACAGTCTGTGGTACTTTTTACAGTAATCCTGGAAAACTGTAATAATATGGATGGCTTATAGTCTTGGATGTAGCAAAATATCAGATGACTTTAATTTGCCTATCCCCAAGGAATAGTTTGCCAATCTCAATGCCAAAAACCTTAAAACGTTATATGCTTTCCCCAGGCAAGACATGGGAGAGAGAAATTTGGATGGCTTAATGGAGAAAGTAATTATTCATCTCCTTCCACCTCAACCCATTCAGTTAATGGCAAGCAGCTTGCTAATTCTTTAGTTCAATTGGATTTGTTTGGTTTGGCAAAGAGAAAGTGTTGATGGGGTATTTGTGTTCGTTAGTGTTGAAGAGTCCCTGGCAATAGACCTGGTTGCTTTTTCAAAGTATAAAACAGAAGAGGAAGACTGAATAAAATACTTTTTAATGTGATGTGAATTTGAACTAATTGCTTGTGCATAATTTTAGCAGCACTACTCTGCCTGTTATAACCAACAGGAGCAGAGTTGGGTGTCTTTTGGCTCATGCCTGTTGCTTTAATAGTTGTCATACCCTCTGATCCACAACCCATCATACGCAGTTGCCACAACCATTTTCAGTACTTGCTTTAGCCATAAGCTAAATATATATGCAATTTTTACCATTCTTATTTTAAAATTAGGTCATACATCAAATAGTGCTGTTTAGCCAACTCTTTTATAGTGTTCTGAGATATTTTTCTAGTGTTTTTGAGATACTGAAAGAGAAAAATTTTGAATGTATACAAAAATAGGACACTTGCTCTTTCATTATTTGGAAGCAGCTTACCAGAGTTCTGAGAATAGGGTACACTAAATTAACAAGTGAAATAAAGATCTCAGTCCCAGAGTTTAAAAAAAAAAATTGTGTTTGCCATAAAGTAAAAGAAAACAAAACAACCAGAAACCTCCAATTTATGGGCAATAAGATTTTTAATCTAATTTTGGCATTTAAACTCAGTCACATCCATACAGTCTGGCGCACCCTTGTGAACAGTCTGTAGTCATTGTGGTAAATGCCAGTGATATACTTTTTCATCTCTTTCAGTAATATTGCATAGTAATAATACTTTATTGCCAGTTACTGTAATAAGTTTTTTTAATTTGCATTTTTTAATTGAATCCTCATAATAACACCTTGAAAGTAGGTACTTGGTTATCCTGATTTCACAGATGAGAAAAGGGAAATAAATTGCCTAAGGTTATACTCCAAGTAAGTAATAGAATTAGGATTTAGTTTCTGCAATACTTGATAATGCTGATTAAAGTTAAGAAGGCTACTGCAGGATTTGTACCTGAATTAGGAAGTTAGGAAATTTAGATAGAGCTAAGGTTTTCCCTCAAGAAACAGTTTCTAAGTCTACTCTCATATAGATGGATGGGTGAAGAAAACTAAATTGTACTTTGATAAGTTTTGCTGAGATAAGTTTGTTTTGTATTTCCCTTAGCTTCCTTTTTTTCTTATTTGTACTTAAGTAATTCCAATCTTCTGAATAACTATTGTTGAATATAGTCATTATCTTGGACAATATCACATTTACTTCTGTTTTATGAATATTAAGCTTTCAGGGAACCAAGTGGCTTGCCTAGATACTCTTGGCAAATTAAATTATTTAAATGCCTTCTATAAAGTCAGTTTTGGATGCATGTCTTTTTATATTTTCACAGTTTTAAAATATTTTTTTGCAATTTTCTTGAGATGCATGATCTATTTGAAATTATTTAATTGCAGCTGGGAAAAAATGTCCAGTATGTTTTGCAGCTGGTATTCCTGAAAACTGAATGAAAATTGTAGAGCCAATTTCATCATGTTATAATATTTATACTTTTGTCACAATTCTTGCATTTTAATACGTGCATGTTTGTGCACATTGGTTTTTAAATGAACCCAGTAATTTATGTTTGAAATTGCTTTAATTTCACAAACAAGAAGTAACTAAATTTTATAGGTTTATTTCTATCTATAATAACCTGACTATAAAGAAAACGTATTCAAAATTTTAACAATTTTCTATGTTAATTTTCAGGATGAACATTTAGAACAAATGTGGAAAGATGTTCACTTCAGAGAAAGGGGTTGTGGAGGAATGGTTATCAGAGTTTAAGGTAATATTTTCTGTGTTAATATAATAATTATATTCCAAAGAAGTTTTGTCAGGGTTTTAAATTCCAGTGGCTTTTTAAAATATGACTGAAAAACTAAATATTTGTGGAAGCAGAAGTATGTTCCAACAAACCTTAATAGGGAATTATTTACACATGGTAATGTTTTCTAGATTAATTCGTTTTTTGTTTCAAGTGGTTCAAAGAGTTTGTTTTCTCCCTTTCATGGCAACACCACAAAGAATGGTTAAAGTCTCTGAATGCTGATGTCACTCTCTCCAACCACCATCAAAAATTCAGTGTGAAAATGTTTCTCCCAATTTGTGTAATGGGAGAGGGCATGAACAACAATGATAAGATGGGGACACTTGTACCCAACTTTCCACCAGTAGATCTTTCTCTAGCTGGCTAACCCAGTGACTGTATAAGGGGTGAAAATGAAACTTCTTTTTTCTTGTCTCATGAACTCTTCTCTATGGTAGCTAAAATTGTGTTGCTTTAACGAGTTAATTACCTTCCCCTTATCCTCTGGGTCTCATTGTTACACGTAATTATGTGAAGTTCATTATCATGAACCACAGGAATGAAGAGTTTGGGCTGCAACTGTCACATTTTTGTTCAGCCCAAGACCTTTAGGGACAAACCTACAGTCTGACAGTCAGACTTTCTGGCTTGTTTCAGTGAGGGAAACTACACAACAGGCACCGCGCAAGCATCTTGCCAAAGGAAAAGATAAAATTGTTATAAGATTTGGAGGAAAGGTGGAGTTTAGATGAAATTTAAAGGAAGCAGTATTTTGACGGACTCAAAACAAAGCAGAGCCATGTGTAAGTGGGGTCAACATCTGGTCTCAACTGCGAGGTAGACCAAGGATCCTGTTGTCTTGGAAACTACAAAGTTAGCATCTGTGTGGAATGGTGTGTTCAGAAACCCCTTCCCTGAAGCTCTGCTTGTAGGCTGGAAATCGAGCCTTGTTCTCTATGTCAAGGTGACTTAGCTCCTCCAGACAAGAGTGGGATGTTTCATTTTACCGATACATGTTTAAACAGGAACGTTTTTGATATCTGTGATTTTAGATAACAAAGCTTCTCAGTGAGGAAGAATACAGTAGTCATTCAAAAAAGGAGGTTGTTATGATACTTTTCAGCTGCAGTGTGTCCCTAAGAGAAGCAATTTTGCAGCTGGCCTTATCTGTCATTGTTTTCTCATCCTGATGAATGAATGGCTGGGCAGACTTTTACTTTGTCAGCTTTTATAGTCATGAATTGAGTATCCTTCTATGGAACCTCTAAGTCATCGTAAAGTGATGCGGAATATTATAAAAGTGCACTGTATCAAGTACCTTCTACATACCGTAATAGTTTGATTAAATCTTATATGAGCTTTTTTCAGCACATGTTATCTTTGTGAATAAGTGTTCAAGATGTTTTTAAGCTTTTATTCCTGCTTCAGGAGTGTTTAATTTATTATATCATGATTTTGGGGTTGGGGCAGGTTGGTGGAAATTGTCAAGTTTAGCAATTGAGTACCACTTCCAGGGCATTCTTATGTTTAATGGTGAAATTAAATTTGCAAAAACAAATATAGCCAGTTAGCCATTCTTTAATATGGGAGTTGTGGAAAGAGGGCATGTTAAAGAATGGAGCATGGGGAGAAGTCAACTATTGGATTGTTGGAAAAGTCATGACGTACGTTTTCTATGTTTTTCGTTGCAAAAATGCGTCATGACTTTTCCGACAACCCAATATTAAGGCAAATAATTGAAAATCATGACTGATTCCCTTCCCTTCCCATCTGTTGTTTTATTCTCTTCCCCACCTGGCTTGGATATATATAGATACTCTAGGAAATATAGCAGCAAGGGGTCAGGGGGCAGTGCAGCAGTAAGGACAGCAGTGTGCCCTAGTGTTTGAGGAAGTGGGTGGTTGGGGGGAAGGGTTGCAGAGATGGCAGGTAGAAGAGTCAGCCAGAATGGTTACATTGGTAGGTTGGTTACTTAGAGCAAATAAATAAATATATGAAGGATAATGGGAGTTAGATTTGTGTGTCTGAGAAAGGAATTAGAGACATGGACCAGGGAAAGGCAAGAAAGAACCCTAAAGTGTTGGATTGGAATTAGAAAGATCAATGTGAACTCATGGATCTAAATATGTATGTGATACATTTATATATGTATATCTGTATATGTGTGCATACATATATTTTCTAGTTTGTTCACTAAGAGGACCAAGAAGCAATGGCATCCCAGTAGCTTTGAGTACCCCAAGAACACAGATCTTGTTTTCTAAATACCATCTTTCACTAAAGAAACTAAGATGTGAATAAAAAAGTATTAGATAAGTAATATTTTATCAATATAGCATATGTTATGTGGGTGGTGATATTTTATTAAAATTTTTATAAATTTAATTAAAGGGTAAGGAAACTTTTCCATTGAGAGGAGAGGAGTGAAATCCTGTACCCCATGAAATAAAAAATAATTTAATTTTTTCCTAAGCATGCAAGATTAAAATTACCCAATTTTCAATCAATTTGGTATAACAAATGTTTTAAATTATTGTTAAGTCTATATTATAGCCAGTTAAAAGAAAGACATTTCCTAGTCCTTTGTTAATTTAGTAAGCATTCCTGAAACTTACTTTTGTGTGTTATTTTGAATTGTGTTAATGTGTGTTGAATGCAGCTCTGTTTATGTTTGATTAGAGGTCATCAGGCAAAGTCAGCAGCATACTAAAGGAATGGAAGGTGCTTAAGAACAAACCTCTAGTGTACTTTTAAAATTAGAGTATCTTGTCTTTTGAACTGATTTGTGATATTAATTATGTATTTTGGTTAAAATATTTAACAAAGGAAGTTTGGGGATATATCTATATATACTTAGAAAAAGCCTCTGGTTGTTTAATTCAATAACCATGGTGCTAATAAGGCCAAGGTCATCATGATTGGTAGAGTGGTACAGAGTACATTGGGCTCAGAAGTCAGAAACCTTTTTTATTTTTTATTTATTTTTTATTTTTTATTTTTTTTAGCTGAGCCATGCTGCCGCCTGTTGGCAGCTCAGCAGCTGCTCAGTTCGGGCCAGGACTCAAACCGCTGTTGCTCAGAGCTTGCACTCTTGAGCAAGCTCTTAATCAACTGAGCCACTCGGCTGACCCCAGAAACCTTTTGATCGACTCATAATCCTTACGCTAGGTGGTTTTATAATGTTGAGCAAATCACATACTTCGTTGGGTCTCGGTATTCTCATCAGAAAAATCTGAAGTAGGTGGTCTGTGAAGATGATTTTAGCTCCACACCATTCCACGGTCACAGTCTGCAATCCCCGCCTCATATACTCAACTCAACATTCTGTCAAATGCACAAAGACAATGCAGTCCGCCTTGTGCAGTCTTTCTGTTTCCCCTTTGGAAGAACTACTCAGTACATACTACTCATCGTTGGGCACTCGTCGTTAAGGACTCTCTCTATATACCAACAAAATGATTAGACTGGGATTTCATTATTTTAAGATTTCATGAATAGCTCAATCTCTAGCTTTCAAAGATTTATTTGTAACATTATCTTTCAGATTGTGTTATGATTTTCTTAATGCTACATGTAGATTTTTCTAGCAGATTTCCAGGCTCCTAATTTTTCCAATTTTCTGGTAGTCGCTGAATCTCAATATGTGACTTAAAATTCAGTCTTATGTACAATGTTGCTGAACAGAGTTGTTTTATTTATTGGTTCTCCACCCATCTGTCCATCTTCGTTAATGCTCTTGCACTCAACCCATATCAAATCCTTACATTTAAAAAAAAACCAAAAAAATCAACCATCTGCCAAATGATATGAAGCATCTGTCTTCAAATTTTGCCAAGAGTAATTTTCCATTATTACTTTTTTTGTCTTCAGTTCTGCCTTCTGAAAAGCAAGAAAGCTTAGCTGGTGTTTAAGAAGGCCAGTACCTTCTTAATACAGTGCAGGAAAATATAAAGGTTTGCTATAATACTATTTAAATCATTAGGCTCTTTTAGATCTTAAGTTTTTCAAAGTGCTTTTCATAAACACAGCAATTATATTTTCTCCCTTCTATAAACAAAAGTAATTTCTCCCACGTTCACAAAATGAAATAATGACAGAATTGTGATAAGATGTAGTAGTTCACTGCACTAATTTTTAGATTTTTCCTCTTATTTAGCAGTAGTAGCCTAGGTCTAGGGTATATTCTAGAGCTTGTCTTTTCAGAAAAGAGCTGTCCTTTTGTCTTTGGCTGTTTCACAGAAAATATTTTACCTCATTAAGGTTAATTGGTGTATAAACTAATTGTAGTTCACATTTTTAACGAATGTTCCATTTTTAGCCTAGATAGTATATATAACATTATAATAATCTTTATATTCACTAGTTTTTTAAGATTTATATTTCAGTTCACTTAGTTTTAAAATTTATAGTTAGACACACACTTGTGTGTATATATATTATACACATACATATATATTATATATATTTATATATATATATATATATAATATATACAATATATTTTACATATATAATTTGGGTTAATTTTCATTCAGGGGATTAGAAATCTGCTGTTTATTTGACTATTATTTCCTTTTACATAAATTCCCCTAGTATTAGGTTACTCTTGATCAAATAACGGAAATGGAATGTTGCCTGGAGCTCTTTTGTTACATGCTTTTGAAATATTGAAGAATGCCCTAATCTCCTCTTTATGTAAGCTGTTGCAGTGAAACTTCCCCCCTACCTCCTGAGAATGGTGGAAGGTTCCCAGATAGTTCACATTTACTTACCTTATCACTCTGGTAAAACTATCTTAATAAATTAAAAAAAGAATCTGTTCACTTATATATCCTAAGGTGAAATGTGACCTATTTTAAAAGAATCTACTGAAGTGTAAACAGTGACAGTGTTTATTTCTTTTTCTGTTCATCTATAATATATTCCTTCAGCAAAAGTTTAAGTATGAGGCCTTGTGCTGAGTGCTATGGGTGAGGAGACAATAAAATAGTTATTGTTCTCAAGGAGCTCACAATAAAGTAAAAAAGAATCAGATATCCTTGTTATAAAAATGTATACTGTTTAATTTTCTATGTGTGTTTATGTACACATTCATCTATGTACACTAACCATAACCCACTTTAAATCATGAAATGCTAGGATATGGAACATGTAAGAAATAGTTTATATCTTGGAATGACTGTTAGCAATATCTTGAGACATTATATCTACCGGATTAACATTGATTGAAGGAAGTAATTTGCATGAGAAAGAATAATGACTTGAGAGACAGATGTTAAGGAAGGGGTATATTCTAGAAGGATAGGTTTTCATCATTTGTTATAATGAAATTTGTTGTTGTTTTCAGATTGCCTTATGATTTTTACCCAAACCATCTGACTTAACTCCTGGAGTTTGTGCCTTCCCATTCCTCTCTGGTCATGGTTTCTCTTCTGAATGGGTGGTGCTTGCAAGCTGTGATTAGTTGTCTATGTTTTCAATGGCGTTAGGAAAACCAATTTATTGGTAGTGTGGCTACCTTATTCTCTGTTCTGAGAAGTCTAAAATTGCCCCCAATTCTGTAAAGGAGAACAGCCTTACCTGACAGTCACAATATGTAACTCAAGAGTTACCTTGATAATGATGATCTGTGGTTTTAAGGTTTCAAACATTATTAGATCCTTATACAACAATGTTCATTAATGCAGTGTTTACCAAGAAGCAGGATCAATATGGCTAATGAGATTTGTAACTTATGTAATGCTATAGAAATACCACAGTATCTCTGGCTTTTTACACATGATTTGTATTCTCATTTCTAACCCCAAACTGTGATCAAGGATGAAGTTGATGTTAATTTATGTCCCTGTTGATAAGAGGATTAAGCATATTTTTGTTTTATTTTTGCAATTATTTTGTTGAGATATAATTCACATAAAATTTACTGTTTTAAGGTGGAAATTTAGTAGTTTTTGGTATAGTCATAATGTTGTGCAACTAACGCCGGCACCTAATTCTAGGACATTTCTGTTACCTCAGAAAGAAACTCCATACCTGTTAGTCACCCCCAGTTCTCTCTCCCTCCAATCTCTGGCAACAGCTAATCAATCTACTTTTTGTCTGTGGATTCGCCTATTCTGGACATTTCGTAAAAATAAAATGTATATTTCTTTAATTTGTTTAGACACTACCAGAAACATCTTTACTAAATTATGCCACAAATTTGAAAGACAAGAATTCTTTAGTTTCGTCTCTCTATAAAGTTATCCAGGAGCCACAAAGTGAGGTGAGTACTCTTATAGTTTATTGTACTAGTACTATTCAGTTGATTGATTTTTTAAAATGTTTTATTGTGAAATATAAGATATATACATAACAGAATAAGAAAAAGTATGTATTTAAAGAATTATAGTATGTATTATGGAATGTTTAGCTGATTACCTTTGACGAATGGGGTAGGAAGGATAAGAGAAAAATACATTATGTTCAGAAAGTGGCAGAGTAAAAAAAAAAATTTATAAAATGAACTCTAGTGTACAATCCCCCAGACCAAGAAATAAAATTATTAGCAGATTCCAAAAGCCATCTCTGAACTATCTATCTGTCTATCTATCTATCTTGCTGGAGGTAGCCTAGTAAAGTCTGGGTCACTACATTCACTTATTCATTCATCAAATATTTGTGTGCCCATTATGAGCCAGCAGCAGTGCTAGGCAATAGAAAATCAAAGATGAGTAACACATGGCCTTTATCCCAAAAGAGGAAAGGGGTAGAAAATAAGTAAATACATGCTTTCAAGACAATGTGTGACTGAGTCTAGATAGATATGCATGAGTTTGCCAGGTGTGCAAGATAATAAATAAGCCATGAGGATAGCATATGGAGGCCTGAAAAAGTGCAAGGCATTTAAAGAATGGCAAGTAGCTTTGTCTGGCTGGTGCTTTTTCCAGCCCTTTATTTTTTTTTCTTGCACCTACCTCCTTTTCTTTTTTTTAGACAACAAATTTAGTTTGAAGGTAATTAAATGATCTATACTCCAGATTCTGCTTGCTTGTAAATCAATCCCACCATTCATAATAGACAAAAAAGCATTGGAAATAGCATGGAAAATAAAAAGGTTTAGCATTTGGAAAAAAGCAAATAGGCTAATGCAATAGTTAACAAGAGGATAAGACTGTGATAGGAACTGAAGCTGGAAAGATAGGTTTAGGTTGCAACGATGGTGGGTCATGAAATCTATCGTAAGCAATTTAGACTTTTTCTG